GTGGTCCTCTGGGAATAACCAATCTCAAGTGGAACACAAGAATTGGACACCTGAGCAGAGATGTTGTGAGACAGTTGATCTCTGCAAAAGTCCAGAGGGCAGAAACGCAACTTCCAGAGTGGCTATCCTTAGCTCCCGGTGCTCTTGGGAGACACAAATGCTTTAGAAGAGGCAGCAACTCGCAGGCCAGCTGGGAGATCAGAGGAGACCAAGCAGGTCAGAAGTTGGGGCGGTGTGTGGGGAAAAGGGAACTCTCCCTCTGTTTCCCAGACGGGGCAGATGGAGGACTTTACAGGGAACAGCTAGCCTTCCAACCATAAACTTCTTTCTTTGGTGATTCTGAATCCTCCTGGACTCCTGATTTGCTTTTTTTTTTTTTTTTTATTTGGTAAAATATACATAACATAAAACTTGCCATGTTAAGGTGTGCAATTCAGTCGTATTAAGTACACTCATGCTATTGTGTAACCATCACCACCATCCATCTCCAGAACTCTTTTCATCTTATAAAATTGAAACTCTGTACCCATTAAACAACAACGCCTAATGCCTCTCTCCCTCCAGCCCCTGGCAACCCTATTCTGCTTCCCATCTCTGTGAATTTGGCTAGTGTACATGCCTCGTATAAGTGGAATCACACAGTATTTGTACTTTCATGACTGGCCTATTTCATTTAGTGTAACATCTTCAAGTTTCATCCATGTTGTAGCATGCACAAGGATTTCTTTCCCTTTTAAGGCTGAATAATATTCCATTGCGTGGAAATGCCACATTTTGTTTATCCATTCATTCATGATGGACGCTTGGGCTGCTTCTACCTCTTGGCTATTGCAAACAATGCTGCTGTGAACATGGCTGTGTGAATATCTGTTCAATCCCGAGCCTCTGGTTTTGCACCTTTGACAGTGAAGTCATCACAGAGGAGAGCTGCCAGGGCTCCAGCAGGACCTCAGGAGCCTTGACCAGGCAGCTCTTTGCTCTGTCCATGTGTCTCCAGAGGGTCCGTTGCATGACCCTGTCGCCTAGGGCCTGATCAACTGATGAGAAAAAAACCTTTGTCAGGATCACAGATGACTTCAGAAGCAGCAGCTAAACACAGCATGTGCCTACCTGCTCTTTGATGCTCAAATCCCCATCCTGGTCTCATGGTGAGGAATTGGGCTGCAGACACTACCCCTGCCCCTGAGAGACACATGATGGTGATGGACACTCGATCTGATGTGGAACAGGCTCAGCTCTGTCCTGCCAGACTCAGAGCAAGACTTGGAGGGGAAGGTGGGGAATGGGGGAGCTGAGGTTGAGAAAGGCAGTGCCTTTCAATGCCATGGGGGAAAGGCATTCTCTTTGCTTCAAATGGGGGACAAGAATTGAAGTTCGCTGCCTTCAGGGTGTGGTAAATATCCCAGGATTTCAGGTGAGACCATGAAGGACCATGTCCTAGGAGTAAAAGGGAACTGAAAACAGACCATTTTCAGAAGCCCGCTTTGAATTTTTAAAGAACTAAAAGAAAGTTATTAACAACCTAGAATTCTATAGCCACAAAGATATTCTTCAGAAAAGAAGGCAAATAAAAACATTTTCAAAAAATCAAAAAGGGAGTAAAACTTTGAAATTTACAAAGATGGAAATGGTTTGGAGTATGTTCTCTGGTCACAGTAGGCAATTATAAAAAATCATAATTTAAAAACTCTAACTGCCTATAAATTTAACAGTATATTTCTAAATAATTCATAGGTCAAAGAAGAAATAAAAAAGAAATAATAAAATTCTTTGAATTGAAAGATAATAACATATGACATATCAAAACTTCTGGGATACAGACAAGAGCAGGTTTAGAGGAAAATGTATAGTCTTAAATTCACATATTAGAAATACTTGGTAGATACTTGAAGAGAAGGAAGAAGACTCAGCTAACCACCTAGGACAGGGTCTCCCATAGAAGTAGACTTGTTTAGTAAGGAGATAGCTTTTGAAAAAGTTAAAAGTTATATAAATAAATACAACCAAAAATAAATACTAAAATGTTCTTTTGAGAGGGGAAAGGAAATGATCTCAGGTGGAAGAAAAGTAATGTTGAAGGAATGATGCTCAGCAGAAAGATAAATATATTGGTACATCCATGTGAATAGTGAAATATAAAGCAGCGATAATATTGTTTATGGGCTTCAAATATGTAGAATTAAATACATGACAATAATAACATAAGGTGAAGCAAAGTAGAATTTAAATACATGACAATAAAACATATAAGGTAGAAGGGGGAGGGCAAAGGAGTAATAGTGTCCTAAGATTTTCCACCATCTTTCAAGTGGTAAAGTACTAATTTGTGATAGATTCAAGTCAATCATGCTCATTACAATTGCTAGAGTTACTCCTAAAAGAAGAGTAAAGAAGGAAAAACTAAACTAAAAGCCACTGAGGGAAGAAATGGAATAATAAAAAGATCTCGAAATCTCTCTTTTTTGGAAGCTCCTTTACCTTCACCTCCCTGCTCCATCAGGATGGCCAGGGGTCCCACACTTTTTAAATGTAAATCTGTAGTTGGAGTGAACCCTAAGTGCACCAGGCACTTTGGTAATGTTCTGAGTGTCCATGGCATACTCTTCAGCCACTCTTAGGGCTCAGGTACTAGGTCATTTGAAAGTTTCTCCCAGTCACCCCCATGAGCCTCCTATTGGACACCCTGGTAAAATGGGGGTGCCTAATTATGACTGTGGCTTCTCTCTGCTCGTTCTCACTGTCAACACTTTTGGGATTAAAAACATGGGTTTTCAGAACTGAAGGTTGAGCTTTGCTTGACTGTAGAAGTTACAATTCTATATGTGGTACCATCTGTACTCACAGTCTCAAAATACGTAAGTAGCACATACCAGAGCCAGAAGAAACACACCAGATCCTTAATCCTCGTGGGTGAGTTTCAAGCACCTCTCTTAATTAATCATGAAATCCACAAAGTAAAGTTTGGAAGAGACACACAAAAATTTAAGAATCCATTAAACAAATCTGATCTGTTATTCTATACACCACCACCCGCCAACTGCAATACGTGCCTTCTTTTTGAGTTGATGACACATTTATCAAAATTGAAAATATTCTCACTGAATTTCAAAGAACTGATATTACACAAGGTATATTCTCTGACCACAGTGAAATTTAGGTAGAAATTAAGGAGAGGAATATTTGAAAATTCAGCTACATACCTCTAAATAACAAACAGGTTGGAGAAATAATCCTGATTCAGACCAGCATGTACTGTTCAAAGTCCAGCTGTCATTACAGCTTTCTGAAGTGGCCAAGATGGGAGACACTGCTCACCTTGGGCTCTGAGGGCCACGTGGCAGACCGGAAGTGCACACGCTGGAGATGGATGGCTCACGTTCCCATCTCAAGAATCTAGGACTCCAAAGTTGAACCTGGAGAAGACAGAAGGGAAGAAATTACAGCAAGAAGGCACAGATGATGAAAGACAAAGCAGAGATTGACCGAAAGGATCAACAAATGCAACAGTTGGTCCTTTCAAAGGTCCAATACAATTCCTAACCCTTGGCAAGAGAGAGCTAGAATTGGAGAGGCAGCCATGACCCACCGGCCATGAAGAGGGGGTCTTATTACAGATCTTGCAGACCCCCAAAGGCAATAAGGTGACATTGTAATCAGCTTGCTGCCAGGAATGGTGAAGACGAATAGGAGCTGGGAGCTCCACCTTCTCGGCGGGCGGAAACACGGAGGCTCAGGGCCGACGGGAATCCTTGGTGGTCCACCCAGTCTTGTACCACAGCCTGCCTGAGCCTCTTGTCTGCTCTACGGAGCAGCCCAGGAAAGTGGTCACAATTGTGTCCCTCATTCTGTCCACACCGTCATCTCTGGCTGTGTCAGCCCTCCTTCAGCCATTACAACCTGTCCCCAAGGCAGTGGCCTAGGCCCTGGGACCCTTTTTGGGATCATCAAAGTACAGACCCCACAGCCAAGGAAGGGACAATTGTTGCATTGAGAGCATCCTCATGCAGCTTTGCGCCTCTGTACCTGCCCGTGTCCTGGCCTTGCTTAGCTCCTAGCATTGCCCCTGGGGGAGGCAGGGCATGGGCTGGTTCCTCTGAGAAGAGTGCCACATGACAACTCAGGGCAGAGCTGTGAGAACTCATGTCAGCCGGTGCGTGGCAGGGCTTGCCCCTCACCAGCCCCTGAGCCCTTCTTGGGCCTGTGGCTGCCTGCCACGCCCACCCCAGTGGAGCTCTTGCCTTGGACTTGGCTTCTCTCTTGTCCTGGGAATTCTCACCACCCACCTTAGGACATTAGTAGCCCTGCTCCCTGCAGGCCCGGGCCTCAGGGCAGAAGTGGCATGTGGCAAGTTGGCCACAGGTACCAGAGATGGTGGAGAGACCACCCGACAGCCCTGATGCTGGACCCTCACTCTGTCCCCTCCTGAAGCTCCCTGAGGGTGTGGGCTGCAGCCGAGGCTGCAGGGTGTGGGCTGCAGACCTGGTTCCTACCTCGACTGCTCAGCACTCAGAGCCCAGCATTACTCCTAAGAGTTCCCAAGGCTCTGCCGCTCCTGGGGTGCAGCACCAGGAAGCCAAGCCAGGTGGGCTTGAGACCTCCACGTGGGTCTCTTCAGGGCTGGGCTGGGGCTGGAGGAGGCAGCCCTGGCAAGGTTCAGGCAGCAGGCACAGTGCACGCATGCCTGTGGGCCCAAGGCTATGTGGCCTCCTACTCTGCCTTCTGTTGGAGAAGACAGGAGGGACATGGCGGGGGAGTGAAGAGAGACACTGGACAGAGGCGCTAGTCACAGGGAGGCGGTCAGTAGCTCAGGGCTTCTAGTGGGCAGGGCCTTGAGGGTACCGGAGCTGGGAAGGGTGTCACCAGCAGCAGCTGCCACTGTCCCCTTCACTGAGCATTCCTGTCCTCCAGTGACTGAGCGTCTCTGGCCTCCAGTGCCAACGCAGAGGACAGCCATGTGGCAGAAAGTGCTCCTGCTTGGAGGGCTCATTGTGCTGCAGACCCAGGTCTGCAGCTGCAGATTTGTGGACATTGATCAGAACTATGGCTACTTTACCATCTGTTTGGAGTATGCTGTGTTTCAGTTCAACGAGAACCAGGAAGATGAGTACGCCTACAAGTTTCTGCAGGTCCAGAAGAGCCAGCACAAGGTGAGTGGCCTCAGTCTCTCCTCTGTGGCTTTCCCAGGTACCCCGGACCTGGGTGGAGTGAGGCAATGCTAGGTCTGCAGGAAAGAGCAATGGCTTTTTAAATTTGGCATATATATATATTTAAAAATATAAGGTATCATTAGAAGAGCTCCAGCTCTCTGTTTTGTCTCCTTAATGAGTGTAGCCCCTGACATACAGGGCGAGAGAAGGATAGTGATAAGCAGAAAGGAAAGGATTGAAGTCAGGAACTCGGCCTTGAGTGAGGGAGAGAACAGGGTCTGGTGCTGAGGGCAGCCGAGACAGGCAGGTGGCGAGGAAGAAGCAGGAGCAGTGGCCGACAGAGCAGAAACCTGGCAGGGGACAGCATAGCTAGCCTGGGGTCTCCTCTGGGACAGATTGGACGTGGAGTGTCCTGTCACTCAGGGGAGCTGGGCTGCATGGAGCCAGACCCCTGGTGACATGGGCGTCACTGCTGAGGTGATATTCATGCAAGGAGTCGGCTGATGTAGACTGTGCTTCTGCACAGACGGGGCCCCACCCTTCCATGGCTGTTATGCTGTGTAAGAGAGAGAAACCAGCCCCTAATTCAGGATGACGTAGGGGACGTGGCAGGTGTGGTCCGTGCAGTGACGCGGGGTCCTGGGGGGGGGTGGAGAAAGTTGGAAGGGGGCGGCTATCTGGGTGGATGGTGTGAAGGTATATCTGGAGGGACCCAGCCACGGGGAGGTGTGGGAGATGGAAGTGAAGGCCGTCACGGGGAGGCCCTTGGGCTGGGAGGTGAGCTCAGGGAACAACCCGAGTGTCCTTGCACCTGTGTGCCCGGGCAGGAGGCCCTGAGGGGCAGGTGTGGGGGGCCGTGGGGCTGAGGAGCGAGGACAGGAATCCCCAGATAGTGTCCCCCAGATGCTCTGGCAGGCTCCTTTCTGGACGCTTGCCGTGTTTGCGGTGACCTGCGCAGCACCCGGGCAGGCTCGGGGCTACACGGGGCGGGTGGTCACCTGGTCTCTGGAGGTCCACGTCCCAGCTCCGGGGTCTCCATGGGGGCAGGTGGCTGCGTACTGCACTGTGTGTGCGAGGTCAGGGTGGGGGCGAGGAAGGACTCAGGTGCTTGTCCAGGCTTGTGGGGAGAGGGCACTGCCAGCTGAGAGACAGGAGACAGGAGGGGAGCTGAGGATGAAGAGGTCGGGCAGAATAGGCCACATTGAGCATTTCTGAAACAGCCCCGAAGAATGGTCACAGGTGTCCTCAGCATCAGCTTAGGCAAAGCGTTCGTGTGGTTGTTCGTTCTTGTCACCTCCTGCTTCCTTTGAATGGAACCACGACTGTGGTCTGGCACGCGGCGTGCCCGTGCCGGAGCTCTCTTCCCGGGAGAGGAGGCCTGAGGCCCGCACAGTGTCAGCGGGGCCGGGCCTGGAGGCTCCCACACCTGCTCCCCACTCCTGCAGAAGGCTCAGGGGGCCCTCCCTCCTGCCCACAGCCCACAGCTTTCCACAACGTTGCTCATTTCCATGGCGAGCCCGGGACCTGGGGAGGGAGGCTGCTGGGGCTGCTGGGGCCCCCGCGGAGAGGGCGCTGGAACTCTGCTGCCCCAGCGGGGAGCCGCGCGCCAGCCCCGTGCCCCAGGAGGGCCTGGGCGTGCATGGTGTTGCCCGTGTGTTGGGACATGAGTGTCTGTGTGTGTTGCTGTGTGTCAGCCATGAGTGTGTATGTTGTCTGTCAGGCATGAGTGTGTGTGAGCGTGTTAGTGTGTGTAAGAGCATGAATGTGTGTGAGCATGTTGGTGTGTGTCAGGGCTTGGCATGTGCGTGTGTTAGCGTGTTGGTGTGTGTAGGGCATGAGTGGGGACTGTCACCTCCATGGACTGGTGAGTCCCAAACACCGTGAACATCATAGTCAATTTTCAGGACAGTGTTCCACCCTGCACAGACTTCCTGGCTATATTAGTTTCTCTCTCTGTCTGGGTTCTCTGTGAGTCTCTATATGGGCCTCTATATTAGGAAATGACATTAATTTTCCAAACCTTTTCATTAAAGCCTAAGACACATACACCGCAGCATGGTGCACATGTGCGTTCAGCTCGGTGCACATTGGCAAGATGAGCACTGTTGTGCAGTGAGCTGTCATGGGACACAGAACGTTCCCGGCTCCCAGGAGCCTCGCTGTGATCCGATCTAAATTCTAGTCCCTAATGGGATCTTGGCATTGTGGTTTCTAATCCCAGGCATCGGTCTTACCCATTTTCCTACTCTAGGTAGAGGAATCACTCAGCAGGTACCTTCGTGTCTCACCGATGTGGCTCAGCCACGTGTTGGCTCAGTCTGTGTTGTCAGGTGTGGGCGCGGCACGAGCAGGCTCACTGCTGTGTGGGATCCCACTGTGTGAACGTGCCACACCCTACATATTCATCCCTGTCCATGTGACCGCCAGGTGTTAGCCACTGGGAAGAGCCCTGCAGCCCAGATTCCAGAGTGTGTTTTAGGTGCACTTAATGGGCACATTTCCCTAGACCCACAGAGAAATTGCACCGGATGCATATCCCTACATAAATGCACGCGCATATTCCAGTCGTTTGCCCACTTTCAACTTGTTTCTCTCCTGTTTCATTGATTTACGAAAGGCAAATATTGAGCAGCTGTTTGTATAATTTCTTCTTGGCAGACATGGACAATGATATTTTTAATGGATTTGGAATTGGGCCGCACAACTTGTAAAAAACATGAGGAAGACATCGACAATTGCCCATTGCAAGACGGCGCAGGAGAGAAAACGGTCTGAGAACAAAATCAGCCCCAAAGCATTTTGAATCTTTCAGGAATGAAAACAACCTCTAGGGGGGCTTTGGGAGGAGGCTCAGGAGAGTTGTCAGGGGTGATCCTGGGGCAGAATGAGGGCTCCGAACCCCTCTCCCTCTGGTCTCAGTGCTCTCCCACAGGAGACAGGAGGGGGTCATTAAAGCAGACAGAGCCTGGCCCCCAGCTCAGAGGCTGAGCCCTCTGCCCACAGTGCAGCCAGCTGCCCCCAGGCCACCTGTAGCTGCTCCCAGTGCCGATCCCCCCCCGTGTACATGTGTCCATCTTATTTTTTTGGCTTCTCTCCCGCTGCAGTGGAGCCCTCTCTCTGGGTCCCAGCCTGACTTCCTGAGTACCTCCAGATCTGGGCAGATGATGCTCTCCTGTGGTCTTCATTCTTCTTTGCTCGTGTTCCGGAGATTGGAGGATGTTAGTTTATATGTGTCAACCCAAGGCTGTCCTCTAGTCCCTGTGCCACTAGGACATTTCTGGTCAGCTTGAGCTCTGACACCATGTATCTAATGAACTGACAGGTGTTCCATTGGG